GTGTGTGTGTGTGTGTGTGTGTGTGTGTGTGTGTGTGTGTGTGTTTTATTTGCTCTGTGTGTGTGTTTTATTTGCTGTGTGTGTGTGTGTGTTTTATTTGCTCTGTGTGTGTGTGTGTTTTATTTGCTCTGTGTGTGTGTGTTTTATTTGCTGTGTGTGTGTGTGTTTTATTTGCTCTGTGTGTGTGTGTGTATTGTTGAATTTCATTTTCACGTCACTCTTAATTTTTCTCTCAAGCAATTACTGGGCGAGTTAAACGAGGTAACTGGATTATTTTGACTCACCGTCAGTGAAACCCCCCATAATCAACCATCTCAGTATGTTTTTCATAGAGATCCGTCTGTGTAGAAGCCGGCTAGACATTAGAATTATTAATACAGTATAAATTATGAACTACTGTTGATCTGTGTGTTAGGGGCCGTTCACACATAACACGTCTTTGCGTCTAAAAACGTGAGATGCAGCTTTTTAAAAAAGCACAGCGCAGAACACCTCCTCCGCCATGCTGCTGTCAAATAAAACAGTTGCCATGCCAACTTGCTACTGTAAACAACGCTTGCCCCGCCTCCGGGCTCTTCTGATTGGTCCACTGTTCTGGAACTGACATCGATGAGCAGCACTGCGTGTAAAAGTTTAAACTCTTTTAACTTGACACAGTGTCTTAAAAATGCTGCGCTCATGTGTGAGATGCCACAAAAGACACGAGACGTGAGTAATGGTCATGCATGTCTGTCTAGTATGTGTTTACATAGAAAAACAAAGGAAAAGTAGCGCATTGGAATATAAAAACGCGTTCTGTGTGAACGGCCCCTTAGAGACCTCATGCAATTTGTTTCATGAGGTCTTGATCACAGCGGAGTTCAGTGTCTGACTGTGCTGTTTGTGCCGATCAGAAGCAGCGCTCAGATTATGTGCCCAAACCGGCGGTGACGGAAGCCCCGCCCACCCCAATGACAGCCAACAACACAACAACAGCAGCAGCGAGAGCGACGGCGTGACCATGAGAGAACATCAGAGAGAGAGACCCACGCCCACCAGCCGTACGCACACACACACACACTCACACAATCAGCACATTTTCTGAAAAATAAGCCATACTGATTCAAAACATTAAAGGGGTCATGAACTGAGAAACCAAAATTCCCTTGATCTTTTGACATATAGAGGTCATTGTACTATAAAAACATCCTGTACGTTTCAGAACTCAAAACTTTGTCATTAGTCTAAAAACAGCTTCTATTTAAGGCAGTCTGTCAAAACCACAGCTTGTGGAATGTTCTACTCTATGATGTAAAAGTGTGGATAAGCACCGCCTCCGTAGAACATCAACACCTGCTTCTAC